TGGACACAGTTATTTTTGCGCCTGACCTTATTGAATATGCATTTCAGACGCAAAAGTTATGGGAAGATGTAACTGCATTATTTAATGGAGCTGAGCTAACATGAACTATCAGTTGTATTTTGTAACAAAGATTAATAACTTGTGTAGCAAATGTAGCTATTGTTAATCTTAATGCATTAACTAAGGTTAACTAATGAGATCTTATTGTAAAGTGTTACCTATTGGTCTTTATTATTCTTATGCACTTTAACCTGTGTGAAAAAGCAATAGCAATTAATCCCAACATGAAAATTTGATATGACTAGTACCAGCAAAGCCAGATTGGAGTGGTTTGGTTTTGTCAACTGGAGACTAATCCTGTAACTCTGAATTAGTTTAACTAGCATCACGGTACAGGCCCGAGGAAGATGAAGGGTGAGTATGATGTGTGTGGGATCTTGCTTCCAGGCCGAGCGCTGTGGAGTCTGTCGGATCGTGTCTTCAGCGGATCTTCATCATCCTCCGGTGCTGCCGGTTCGGCCCGAGCGTCCGGTGCGTCTGCAGGGAGACTGGGTGAGCACGCGGTGCGAGGTGCGTCCGGGAGTCCTCTTCCTCACCCGACAGCTGACCTTCCACGAGGACCGCCAGACCTGGACCGGACAGTACGAGCACTTCTCTGACCCGGTCTGCCGTCACCCCACCTTCAGCATCTCAGCCAGCGGACGCTACAGCCGCGGAGCTCCATCTGCAGCCGTCGGGGGCGCCGTCCAGTTCACCTTCACCGGTCAGTCACCGATATCACCAGCATTAACACATCACTCACATACTGACATGTGTGACCCTGGAGCACTAAACCAGTCATTGAGATGTATACGTCTATACCTATACCATATCAGCTGAAAGCTGAATAAATAATCTTTCCATTGATGTATGGTTTGTTAGGAGAGGACAATATTTGAAAATCTGGAATCTGAGGGTGCAAAACAATCTAAATATTGAGAAAATCATCTTTAAAGTTGTTCAAATGAAGTTCTTAGCAATGCATATTACTAATCAAACATTAAGTTTTGATATATTTACGGTAGGAGATTTACTAAATATCTTCATGGAACATGATCTTTACTTAATATCCTAATGATTTTTGGCATAAAAGAGAAATGTATAATTGTGACCCATACAATGTATTGTTGGCTATTGCTACAAATATCCCCCAGCGACTCAACACTGCTTTTGTGCTGCAGGGACACATGTGAAGTGTATTTGTGACACTGTATTTGCACACATTTCCAGAACATAAATCTGAACATTGGATGAATCCAGGTTCATAATTCTTGTCTGATTTTGTCGTCATATTAGAGTCGAAGGTTTTTCCAGAGGGGATTCTGGATTTCTCTTTTTATCGCTCCATAAATCAGAAAATGCTGTCAACAGACAGAAAATAAAACACATCTTCAGCATGTTTTTAGGAGTGAAATGTTTATAAATCAGTGTGAATGAAATATGAACAAACAGTTCAATTCTTTATAATAACATAACAATTATATAATATAATATGAAAAAATGAAGCAGATATTGTTCATGAATTCCCTTTTTGAGGTCAATTATTTATTAGGTTTATAAAATAATGTAATATATAAAAACAAACTGAAGCATTTAAAGGGTTAGTGCACCCAACAATTAAAATAAACTCTTGTTTTACTCACGCTCAAGGCATGCTAGATGTATATGACGTGTTCTTCTTTCAGACGAATCCAATTAGTTATATTAAAAATTATCCTTGCTCTTCCAAGCTTTATAATGGCAGTGAATGGGTGTTTTCGTCAACGGTCCAAAAGAAGTCAAATAAAGCGTGTGCATCCATAATAAAGCATGCCTCACACGGCTCCGCGGGGTGGATAAAAGCCTCCTGTGGCGAATCCATGCGTTTTTGTAGAAACAATATCCATATTTAAAACGATATTGTTGACAGGAGCAAAGGAAGCTAAGTTTCCTTACTTTAGCAAAGGAAAACTAGCGTCCTCTTGGCTTACATCGGAATCCTCCCACATTCTTCTTTACAAATCCTCGTTTTGTGCTTCTAATTCGTGACGGGTGTTGTTTTGTTCTCTCCTCTGCGCTTCCGCGTTCTTCACGAATCACCGGATCTTACGCTACACATACAGTGGGGAAAAAAAGTATTTAGTCAACTACCAATTGTGCAAGTTCTCCCACTTAAAAAGAAGAGAGAGGCCTGTAATTTTCATCATAGGTATACCTCAACTATGAGAGACAAAATGAGAAAACAAAATCCAGAAAATCACATTGTAGGATTTTTAAAGAATTTATTTGCAAATTATGGTGGAAAATAAGTACTCATAGTTGAGGTATACCTATGATGAAAATTACAGGCCTCTCATCTTTTTAAGTGGGAGAACTTGCACAATTGGTGGCTGACTAAATACTTTTTTGCCCCACTGTACGTCCTCCGTCATCCTCCGGAACGGCTTCAGCGTACAACACTCAGCAGAAGTGAGAGAAAGGTGTTTATGATGTTTTAAATATGTATATTTTTCTTACAAAAACGCATGGATTCGCTTCAGGAGGCTTTTATCCACCCCACGGAGCCGTGTGAGGCATGCTTTATTATGGATGCACACGCTTTATATGACTTCTTTTGGACTGTTGAACGAAAACACCCATTCAATGCCATTATAAAGCTTGGAAGAGCAAGGACAAATTTTGATATAAC